TGGCCCGGAAATAGCAGTTCCCATCACCTTTGATTTTATACATACGCCATGGATGCCCAAGCTCCCTTGTGCGTCCACAGTACACAACCTTTACAAATGAAAGGCCAAGAGTGGTGCTAAGATACTTTCTTACAGAACTTGGTAGTGGGTTGAAAGTCTTCATCTGCTGGCGTCTCTGTGAGATTTTGATGTCATCATTGTCTGGTCCCTCACGTGGTCTTTTGAGTGTCTTCTGCCTCAGGCTGTCATTTGCAGAGTCACTAGGATAATCATCATGGGACTTGGGTGCCTTCCTTGGCCTGAGTCCTGTGGGTCTCTGGGTCAGGTTATAAGTGGGGTGCCCTCGGTATTGGGGCTTCCCAAGAGTAAAAGGCAGCGCCTCTGGCAACAGAAGGTGGTTCTCTCTGGTTATTGGGGAAGTATCTCTCTTAGTAGGAAAAGACAGCAGCCACAGAAAGCAGGCCTGGGGGGTTAATCTGGCCTGGGGGGGTTATTCTAGCCTAGGCCAGAGTAACCCTGGGGTTACTCTGGCCGGGGGGTGAATGGGGGGGTTATTCTAGCCTAGGCCAGAGTAACCCCGGGGTTACTCTGGCCGGGAGGTGAATCTGGCCTGTTACAGCCGGCCAGATTAACCCGGGGTTACTCTAGCCTAGGCCAGAGTAACCCCTCCGGCCTGTTACCCCTCTGGCCTGTTACACCGGGACTCGGCGGTGCAGGTCTAGTTGGGGGCTTCCTAGGTACAGGCTGTTTGCCCTTACCCTTGCATTGACCTTTTCCAGGAGCCATCCCCTAAATGTATGAAGTCTCTAATGGAGTCCAGTTTATTTATCTACTTGCACGTCCTTGTTTTCCACTGCTAAGTTGGCGGGAGCTGGGGCCAGGGACGGGAGCTCACTCCGTCCCGTGTCACTCAGGTCTCAGACTGTGGAACCACCGACCTTATCCAGGCTGCAGTTCAGCATCTAAACACTGGAGCCCAAGCCCAATAAAGGCCAGGCAGAGGCTACACTAGTGAGCAGCAGTCCCTCTGTAACAAAGAGTCTCTCCAAGGGTCTCTTGCCTGTAAATTGGCCCCAATAAAATTGATTGCCAGTCTTTCAGCCACCAAATGTAGCACCTCCCTTGAGCTGAATACAAGCATAAAGGGGGGGGCCTCCCTCCGGAACTGGCCGTTGGCAGCTGAATGGCGGCCCACAAGGGGAGAGGTAATACAAAAACTGCTAAAGGTGGTGGTGGGGGGGGATTTTTGCCTTCCCTTAAGCCAGAGACATTTTGTCTCTTCTGGTAAAATTAATGGTATTAATGATCAGTGGTCTGTCTAATTCCTAGACTTTTGCTAAATTCTTGGCTTAAATTTGTCTGCCTTGTGCAGTTCACTTTGAAAGGTGAGCTGTAAGCATATTAAATAAGCCTACCTCCTTTTGCACCCTCTCCAATTGTATGCTATTAACAAACACTTTTTCCTTTAGAGGGCACATGATTTATCATGCACTATGAATTAACAAGATGCATTGATATATTGGCTCTTTTATGTGAAATTTTATGTAGCACCTGAAACTTAGCATGCATCTAAAAAGATTACATGGCACTAGATTTAGCATGCATCTAAAAAGATTACATGGTACACTAGATTTATCCATGGCCTGCTTCTTTCTTCCCTCCATGTGCTTAGTCTGCCCATCATATTTGGAGTTCCAGATATACAGGATACTGTAGTATTTTAATCTTCTTCCACAAATGGATTGTAGCCTATTTTATGCACTTTGTTAAAATATGTTTCTTTATACTGCAGAGGTGAACCATATTTCATTTGCACTAAGTTACTAGACCAATGTAATTTTTTATAATATAATTTTATTTTAAAAACAAAATAGTAACATAAAAGGGGTACAGAAAGAAAGAAAGGAGTTATATAGGGGTTATGGAACAATTTATATTTATCAAAGGTTATTTTACTTACAGGCAATGTTCCCTCTAAGCTGTGGAGTCTTGTGAACAAAAATTCTACTTTGTGAGCTACTGGCATTAAAGCTGTGAGCGAGCAATTTGGCTACTGCATAAATTAGTTTGCTCTGGAGCCATCCTTCCTGAGCTAAGACGAAAATGTATGAGCCGGAGGCTTAAAAACTGTGAGCTAGCTCACGCTAACTCAGCTTAGAGGGAACACTGCTTACAGGATATATTAAACAAAGAAGTAAATAAATACTTCTCCCTGACATCCCCTTCATTGGATTTTTTAAAAGACATTTTCTACAATAGTCTCATCATTAATACGTACTCTGTATTACATATTTCATCAATACTACATACTATATACCAAAGTTTAAAGGAAAATCTATTATCTATCTCACAATAGTAGACCAATGTAATTGTTCTTTCTCAGGAAGCATATTGGTAATACTAAAATGCTAGAGCTATAATCATTATGATTTTCACTCAGATTATGCAATGCAAACAAATTCAGTTTCACATACAAAATCTGGATGTTGAATTGTTTCATAGTAAATGGAGTGGGAAATTAGTATGAATTAGAGCAAGAGATTAAATGGAGTGGGAAATTAGGATGAATTTGACATTAGAGCCAG